ACCAGGTCTCAGTCTGAAGACCTGTTAGCTAGGATCAGTACCAGGTCTCAGTCTGATGACCTGTTAGCTAGGATCAGTACCAGGTCTCAGTCTGATGACCTGTTAGCTAGCATCAGTGGAGAGCCGCTATTTGGAGTTTGTTTTGACCGGTTCTAATGCCCCCTGAGGTCGGCAGGAAGATCTCGACACATTTGGAGCTTTGGGTCAAAGTCCTTCAGGATTTGTCCTGAATGGAAAAAAAGGTACTTGCACACATTAGAATCCATTTCCCAGTGGAGTTTGTTTTTGCCCTTAAGGTTTCTTCTGAACAAAAACCTTTCATCAGCTGAATTCTTACAAATGTTCTGACTGAAGCGTTCAGACGGCTCCAGAACCAGCTGATCCAGATGTGAGGTGTTAGTGTTCTCCAGCGGAGGAAGCAGCTGCAGCGACCACACCAAACACAACACAAGGCCCCACCTTCGAGTCCGGGAGGCCTCGCCCGTCTGCCTGCAGTGCCAGGACAAGGACCCCAGTCAGCCGGGACAGGAAACAAACCCCCACCTACCGCTGCACCCCCCGGCCCAGGCACACTTTCTCTGATGGAGAGAACGAGAGGCTGCTGACTCCAGTCCCCCCTCCTCCTCTTATCGAGGCTGCTGCTGCTTTGTGTGTTCCCGGGGGCGTCTCCCTGCAAAAACAAAACATGACCCCCTCCCCCCTTTAAGACTGCACAATTAATCCCAAAGAAAAGTGTAGAGGCCAGTGGACAGAGTTCTGTTTGCAAATCTGAAGTCTAAATTGAACGAGCATCAATACGAGGTCGAGATTAAACTTTTTCACGCAGTTTACTCACAGAAGAAGATTTCAGATTGTAGTGATAAAAACATATTTATTTGTTTAAGGAATGGAAAAAGGCAAAATGCTTCAGCTTCTTTGTTTCTCCTATCAACTGAATCTTCATGTTTCTTTATTCTTGTGAAAAAAAAACTAGAATAAAAGTAAAGGTCCAGTCAGCGAGATGTGTAGAGAGTGAGATGATAAAGGTATCTTACTCTCTGATCATTAAGGAAACATGTTGAAGTGCTGGCTTCTCTGACAACAATGCAGCAGCCAGTATGTCCTCCTTCTAACTTTAGATTCTGCTCCTGAATGCTCTGGATTTGTTTGGACCAGAGAAGGTAGGAGCTTTTAAGACCCCCCACACGGCCCGTTTTGGACGCCCCTCGGTTTGTCAGATATGAGAGCAGTTATCAGGTCAACAGGTGTTGCAGCGATGGAAGCGGTCAAGAGAAGTGGTTCAGATAGAAGTGATTGTACCCGACCTAAAAAGCCTCTGCATGTTTCTAATAAGCTCCACGAGCAGAAACGTGCTCAAACTAGGATCAATATTGGAGATGCTTTTGAAAAATGGAGAGAGGTTAGAACACAGAAAGGTTTACAGACCCATGCAGAGCTGGATAAACACTGAAGCTTCAGAGTCCACCACATGGTGACCTGAGTGAGTAGAGAGGGGGGGGGAGACAGCTCTTACAATGTTTAGAATTTAGACTGCAGTACCCATTTTAAACACTAGGGGTCAGAGTTACATACTGCTCCTTTAAGATTCTTAAATTAAAACAAAGTAGTTGCAAAATTAGACGTGTGTGTGTGTGTGTGTGTGTGTGTGTGTGGGGTGTGTGTGGGGTGTGTGTGTGTGTGTGTGTGTGTGTGTGTGTGTGCGTGTGTGTGTGTGTGTGTGTGTGTGTGTGTGTGTGTGTGTGTGTGAGTGTGTGTGTGTGTGTGTGGGGTGTGTGTGTGTGTGTGTGGGGTGTGTGTGGGGTGTGTGTGTGTGTGTGTGTGAGTGTGTGTGTGTGTGTGGGGGGTGTGTGTGTGGGTGTGTGTGTGTGTGTGTGTGTGTGTGTGTGTGTGTGTGTGTGTGGGTGTGTGTGTGTGTGTGTGTGTGTGTGTGCGTGTGTGTGTGTGTGTGTGTGTGTGTGTGTGTGTGTGTGTGTGTGAGTGTGTGTGTGTGTGTGTGGGGTGTGTGTGTGTGTGTGTGTGTGTTGGCAGCAGTGTGAGTGTTTGTGTATCTGCTGCTGCAGGAGGTGTTTCAGTTTCCTGCCATTTATGGCTGATCTGGACTTCCTGTTTCCTGCGTCCTCTCGGCATCGGATAAAAGACGTCATTACACCCCAAAAAATTAAAAAATAAACAACCACACAAAATATCTTAAAAGACGCTTCCAAGTAAAAAGTAAAAGCAAAAAAATTGAAAAAGACATTTCAACAATCTATGAACACTGAGTTGATTTGTTGTTATACTTCTGCAGGTTTAATGTCAGTAGGAAGTTGTAGCGTCCCCATCAGGAATCATTACGTTACCCTTGTATAAAGGCATCTCTGAGACGTCCAATAGTCCCTGAACGCCTCCTCATGAGTCCAGCTGATCAGATCCACTTGGAGAACAGGTGGCATTCCTCGATCTGCACATTAATCACATCCTTTATGATTCAGATCGCATGAATTCCTTCAATATGTCGGCCTCACGCCTGCCGGGGGGGGGGGGGTCTTTGTTGGTGAAGAATGGGAGGGGTCGCCTGTGGAGGGGCGTCCTGCGAGCCGGCAGATGGCCGATGGGACGAGCAAACAAAGGTGGACGGAGGACTTTCTCTTTTCAGAGCGGATCGTCTGAAGGGGGAGGGGGGAGGGGTGAACCTGCAAACAGTCCAACTTTTACTGATGCTGAGAAATCTGATATCATGACCTCGAATTTTATTTTGAAAGTCCCTACACAAGTCTGTATTTTATTTTGAAGGTCCCTACACAAGTCTGTTTTTTATTTTGAAGGTCCCTACATAAGTCTGTATTTTATTTTGAAGGTCCCTACACAAGTCTGTGTTTTATTTTGAAGGTCCCTACACAAGTCTGTATTTTATTTTGAAGGGGACAGCTGCTGACTCTCTTTAAGAATCAGATAAATGAGGTCTGATGTTGATGTTTTGATTCATTGGTCTGTTGTTGTCTTCGTGTTTTTAAAAGTCAGTCAACATTTTTATTTTAATAACAACAATCACAGTTTTCTTCCTCCTCTGATTAAATCCCGTCACTCCTCCTCCTCGTCTTAGTCGGGACGTTCCAGCTGTCGAGGTTTCTCCTCAACACTTCACATCCTCATTTCAATAACAGAGGTCAAAGGTCCCCCCCCCCCCCGCTCTGACAGGATGGGCGTCGAGCGTTCTGGTAAAAACACACTGAACCTCGAGTCCGCCACGATCTCTGACCCCTCCCCCGACGCACTCGTTCTGCTTCAGAAAGCCTCTTTCTCAAATTGAGGATTGATTTTTGAATTATTTCTGATCATGTTTGGAGGAGGGACTGAAGGTCCTGGAAGGTCACCTCCAAGGTTATGGAAAGTCCTGGTAGTAGTTTGAGTCAGTAAATCTGCTTTCTCTTTTAAATATTCATGTTCTTAATAAAGTGTCAAAAACTATATTTCCTCTCAGAACTGTGGCTTTGTGGACCTGAGTCCAGGTTCTGTATCCAGTCTGGTGTTTTCTTTCACAGCTGCTCCCGACCCGTCTCTGGTTCTGGAGTCTTTTAACTTGGACTTGTTGGTCTCTAGAAGTAGCTGTGACTTTCTGTAGATCTTGTGGACGTAAAGCTGGAACTTCTCTCTGTCTCTTTGTCTTCGGGGTGTTTGACTTGTTCTCCTCTCAGGGAACAGACTTGTCTTTGACTCATGGAAGACTTGTTTTTTTCTGTGATTTTTCACCCTTAAATGTAGAAATCAAGTCTATCCTCTGAAAATAACTCTGTGAGTCATGACTGTCTACAATGGGTGTAACACCCGAGTCCCACTGTCTGTGATGTTTTCAGAGTTTTCAGAGTCCTATCTTCACTTTGTTTACATCGCCTGGACGGCCGGCTGACTCCTCCCCTCGTGTATAAAAGTTGTTTAATTGAGGGACTAGAGAAAAGAAGAATAACATACTGTACTCACTGCTTAACTGTGTTTCTAGATCACGCTCATTTCAGGTAAATTTACATGCAGTGTGAAGATACCAGCATAATAAAGATCACTAGCATTAGCATGCTAACACAACAATGCAGCGCGAGTTGTTTTGGTTTCATGCTGGTGCTCAAGGGCGACATCTGCTGGATCAAAAGATCACATATAAAGACTTTAATGACCTGTCTTCAGTCTCATTGTTTTCTGTCTTGGACTTCTTAACTGTGTTTAAGATTTGACTCGAACCTTCTCCATCTTATGGATGTCGAGTCTCAGTCTCGTTAGCTTCGTGACTCGGGGGCGCTGGTGGTTAGTGTGCGCGCCCCATGTATGGAGGCTGTGGTCCTCCAAGGGTTAGGGTTAGGTTCATCCCCCACTCTCTCTCTCTCTCTCTCTGATTTCTGACTCTATCCACTGTCCTAGCTCTCTATTAAAGGCACAAAAAGCCCAAAAATAAATCTTTTAAAAAAAAGCTTTGTGACTCGGACTAGTCTCAATCTTTTCTTCGTCTTGTCTCCATCCAGTCGACGAGTTTCTCCAAATTCTGTTTTCTGAAAGTCGATTATTAATTTAGCGTTTAGCTTCTCTGATGTGAGTTTTTGCTAATTAACTGCTTTATTTTAAATATCTCATTAATGAAATGATCTTAACTCGTAAAGTTTGCATGTGATGCTGTCGATTTTAAGGAGCTGAAAACTTCCTTCAAACTGCTGCCGTCCGATGACCTCATCCCGCCTCAGTCGACTTTAAAGAAACAAAGAGAGAAAAAGGAGGAGAAAATTACTTTAAATAGCAGAAAACCAAAATAAACAGAAGACGGAGCGAGGTCTGGTTTGAGGAGCAGAGACGTCATGGAAGAAGAGGGAGGGGAGGTATACAAAAGACAAGTCTGTGTGCTGCTGAAGCCCCTCCCTCCCTCTGTTCTCCCCCAACACACGAGTGTGTGTAAAGAGAGGGGGCGAGCGACATAGACAAAGACAGGGAGAGAGAGAGAGCGAGGGAGGGCAGCTGGAGGCGACAGAGCGAGCTTTAGTAGAGAGAGAGAGAGAGGAGGCAGAGGACGGAGTATGAAGGAGACGCAGAGTTTCTGTTTATGAAAACTATAAAACGGTAAAAAAGACTCACTCATTTTGACTTCACTCAAACTTTTTTTAATTTATGCAAATGAATCTCCATTTTGTTTTTGTTTATTCATGTAAAATTTTTAACTTCTCTTGCTGCAATTTTAACATTTATCTTTAATCGTAAATCACTTTATTCTGACTTTTAAAAAAAGGTACAAAAACTTGTAAAACATTGTTTTGTTATTTGTTGCACGTGATGCAGTTTGACTTCATGTTGACTGTTTCAGAGAGGAAACACCTGATGGAACATTATTAGATTTGACCGACACTGGAAACTATTTGAATGTTTGTACTTAGCAGCAGAAACACAAGAAAGGAGAGGTTGTTGTTGTTGTGGCTCATAGGGGTTGGTAGATGTGCTAAGCGACGATTTAAAAGATACAAAAGGTGTAAAAGTACTAAACTTGATCCGGCTTTGTAAAGGGGGGCGTGCAGACCTGCTTCACGGCCTGCACACATCAGAGCATTATTCTCTCTTCTTGGGGGCTTTTTGTGCCTCCAAAAAGAGAGGAGGACAGTGGATAGAGTCGGATACCGAGGAGAGAGAAAGAGGGGGATCGACCTGTGGGAAAGGAGCCACAGGTCAGATTCGAACCCGGGCCGCCTGCCTGGAGGACCACAGCCTCCATACCACTGACCTACCAGCATCCCGTGTCGTGTTGCTTTTTCTCCTTATTTTCGATCTGCAGTCTCTGTGGACACTTAATGCACCGAGGCCTCTAATGGAGTCCAGCTTTAATATGTGACAACATGCAGCAGCACCTGGAGAGTAAAGGGACCGAGCATTCAAATTGGGTGGGCTTTTATTTGACGTTTTACGATATTTCCATTTAAAGGTCAGGGGTCAGGGTTAGATGGATTGGCTTTCCCTCGTGTTGTAATTTGTTGTTTAGGATTTGTGTTTATGTTTTTTTGAGGATTAAAAGTTTCTTTATTTTGAGCAATGTAAATATTCTCTTTTATAAAAAAACATGTTCACACATAAATGAAGTAGCAGCAGGAGCATTATAGCAGCAGGTCTGTAGGTTTTGTTTTTGTGGTTAAATAGCATCAGTTTAATGATTTCAGGGTCTTAATGTGCTCTCCCCTCTCACCTGTCTGCAGTGAGGTCACAGTGAGCTCACACAGGTAAACTTTGACAGACTCCAGGCTACGTTAGCGGCTACAATCAGAACACATGTCTCTGAATCAAATGTAGCTGAATTGTGGGTAATGTAGGCTCAAGGATTTGAAGAAGAAAAAGAGCAGTCAACAGATTCAGCTGATGAGAGATAGTTTCCTGTCTGGATGCTGCAAACACAAAATATTAAAGCAAGTCTGCAGAGTTAAAGGCTTTATATGTGATTTTTTGATCCAGCAGATGTCGCCCTTGAGCTCCAGCATGAAACCAAAACAACTCGCGCTGCATTGTTGTGTTAGCATGCTAATGCTAGCGATCTTTATTATGCTGGTATCTTCACACTGCATGTAAATTTACCTGAAATGAGCGTGATCTAGAAACACAGTTAAGCAGTGAGTACAGTATGTTATTCTTCTTTTCTCTTGTCCCTCAATTAAACAACTTTTATACACGAGGGGAGGAGTCAGCCGGCCGTCCTGGCGATGTAAACAAACTGAAGATAGGACTCTGAAAACTCTGAAAACATCACAGACAGTGGGACTCGGGTGTTACACCCATTGTAGACAGTCATGACTCACAGAGTTATTTTCAGAGGAGATACTTGATTTCTACATTTCTTCTGGGTAGACGAAAAATCACATAGAAAGCCTTTAAGAGTCCTGTGGGGCCACCGGGGGGCCTTCAGGTCATTTCAGCCCGAGACCCTCCAGGAGGTAAATCCAGCCCTGGGTTCAGGTGTTTTTGTTTGCATTTGTCGTTTTTTTTTAATCACTTGGTGCAAAATACTTAGACATGGTGGCTGTAGTAGCAGTTGCAGTGACTTTGTGTTTCCTTTTCTGGCATGAAAAATCTCAGCACAGACATCAATCAGCCATGTATAAACTTGTGTTTCATGCCTGACTTCACATTTCCTGGCAGACAATGTGCAGCGTTTGTAGTTTTTCTGTAATTTATAGCCTCTGCCTGGCTCGTGTTGATGATGTCATCGTCCTTCATGCTCCTCCAGGTAGTGATGGGAAACACAGACAGTCACAGCGGCTTCGTCCCGCCTGCCAAAACCCCCGGCTCGCTCCTCGTCGCCTCAAAGAGGGAGGAGGTGCCGTCGGCTCGTAGCTGGTGGAGGAACAACCAGGGAGGAGGCAGGTCCAGGGGGAGGAGTTATCAGAACCAGAACACCACCTGGCACTATGACCACACCCCCAGAGACTTGGCGAGAGGAGGAGCTAAACTGGGAGCTGGATCTCCTCAGAGGTTCAGGAGTCAGTTTGGATTCTTGGAGAACGGAAGAGGAAGTAACAGAGTTTGTGGGGAGTGCACGTCCTCACAGAGCGGCGGCAGCGGCAGCCCGAAGGTGCTGCTCAGCAAAGATGGCAGCATGAGGGTGGAGTTTACCAAGACCAGGGTCGTCGCCATGGAGACACAGGGACTCAACGGATTGGCCGCCACCTCCTTGACTGCGACCCCAGTCGGTGACGCCTCGCTCCGCACCAGCAAGGGCAGTTCACTCAGCTCAGACGGCTCCTGGTACGACTCTCCGTGGGGGAGTGGCGGCGGCGGTGAGCTCGCTGACAACGTATTCATGAGTGCGGTGAACAGCAGCGGATACACGGCCTTCTCTTCCGCACCTGCAGAGGAGAAAGCCACCTCTAACGGCAGGTTTAACACCTTTTTCTCAGCACCCAGATTTACCTCGAGTCTCCTCTTCCCCGCCGCTGAGACGAGCGAGTTCCCCTCCTCCTCTACGGGATACAACACCTGCTCCTCCGGACGGACGGAGGACAGCGGCATCGGGGACTCTGTGATCCTGCAGCCTGACCTGACGGACTTCAGCGTGGACGACATTTACTCCAGCCACAACACGCTGCCCACTTTCCCCACCCAACCTGACGTCTCCCTGCAGCAGCAAAGGACCGCCTCCTCCTCATCGGTGCTGCTAGATGATGTCATCCAGGAGGAGGAGAGGTCAGGAGGAGAAGGCGTGGAGAAGTGTTACTCCTCCATGACACTTCCCTGTCGTAGGACCGCCCCCCTCAGCACCTCCGCCGCCTCCGTCACCTCCGGGAACGGCCGCAAAGACTTCCTGAAGAGTCGAATCAGGCAACTCAGCGACTGGACAGGAAGTCTGAGCAGGAAGAAGAGGAGGATCCAGGTGAGAAACATCAACATTTTTAACATCTTCTGAGAGGAAATCTGTATATTTATGAAAGCTTTGAAATATTTGTTCTCGGGGGAACATTTCCTCTGTGGGTGTTAGTTCAGAAGTTTCTTGAACACAGAAACAAATTCCCCCCCGGGATCAATAAAGTATAAATTATTATTATTAAAATAACATTATCATTATTTAAACCTTTAGAAACTGTGCTAGAATAAAAACCAGTGAACCTGGTTCAGCCTCCACATATACAGTATGCTTCCTAATATAATGAAGAAATGTTCATCGTTATGCAGACGATACTCAACTATATGTATCAGATGACAGCAGTCGCTACGTACACTAGAAGCATGCCTCACCTCAGAGAGACTTTTTATAATGATAAAGCGGTTCTAGATGACTTCCTGCACCACTGTTAGGAGTCTTTGAGTTCTACTTGATCAGGATATGTCCGTCACATAAAACAAACACGTCTGAAAGACAGCTTCTTATTGCTAATTTGTAACATCTCTGAGATCAGGCACATTCTGCCGTAAAACTACATGGAGAAAAAAGTTCATATATGAGTTAACTCTGAATTATTGCACTTCTAATTGATTGATTGACAATATTAAATGTACTAAAAGCACCCTACAGCGATGGTTCCCAACCCCCTTCTTTGTATCAACGGAAAGCTGAAGAAAAGCTTTTTACGGTTACATTATGTTTTTATATCCAGGCAGGAAGTAAGAAGTATCTATCATATGTGGGCAAGAAAGTTGTGAATTGTGTTGTTACACTGCTTGTACAAAGTTATAAAACAGTGCGTTAACATCCCTCACGTTTATCCTAAATTATGATTAAAAAGATTTGGAGTGCTAATTACAACATCACTGCGTATGCACATTTTGATCAGCCGACAAAATGAAGAGTTGTATGTCCCTCTACTGGCCACATGAGGAATTACAACACCACTGCTTAGTTTGAAAGATAATCATTAATAATTCCTGACATTTTATGCAAAAAAAATAGACAACTATGAGTCCCTCTGGTGGCAAACGTTTGAATTACAACAACACTTCTCATACACATTAAGAAAAAGGTTTATTGATTAATTAATACATTTAATGGTTTTTACAAAAATGTTATGTCATAATATCCTTCTACTGGCCACTTAATGAATTACAACAACAATGCTTGTTCACATTCTTGTTTTATTGGCCTTTAGCATAATCTTATTTTTATGCATAAAGTGTGATTAATGATGAGGGAAATATTGTTCTAGTGGCCAAAGGAGGAACTACAAAAATGCTGACACGTCTTTATTTCATCTTGTAATGAAACTATTTAAACCAACAATGTTTGATTCCTTCATAGGAGCCGTACGGCAGTGACAACGGTGATGTTTTCACAAGCGGGCTGGCCTCTGGGCTGGGAGGTAGCAGCACCCTGTGGTCCTGCAACCCTCTCCACTCTCTGAACCAAAACCAGAACCAGTTCCCACCAGTTCACTCCTCCAGAAGCCAGATCCAGAGCAGTGACGCCCAGCGGCAGAACGTCTACCAAAACTTCATGCAGGAGCTGGAGACAGGCTGCAGCAGCGCCGCTGACCGGACCGAGCCGTCAGAGGGGGAGGGGGAGGGGGAGGAGGAAGAGGAAGAAGAGGGGGAGGAGGAGATGGACGGGGAGGTGGAGGTCGGAGGGGGGGAGCAGCTGGAAGTCCTGTTTGAGAAGGAGCAGGGCGTGGTGAGACGGGCCGGATGGCTCTCTTTTAAAGCTCTCGTTGCCGTCAACAAGGACAGGAAGCTGGAGCTGGTAGCTCGCCGCAAGTGGAGACACTACTGGGTCACTCTAAAAGGTAACTAATCTTCTAAACCTCTTTTTCTACCAAAATAAAAGCATGTTTGTTACCCTTAGCTTACAACAGTACGAATTACTAAATAAAAGTATAACCTGAAACATTTTGATATACAAAAAGATTAACCATATGACACAGCTATCTTCAATGCTACTTGACATATACATATTTACATTGCATTGTTTTTAATGTCCAGCAGGGGGCGACTCCACTGGTTCTAAAAAGCAGTGATTGTATAGAAGTCTATGATAGTTGATTTATACCCTCAGTAAATATTTCTCAAATTGCTTTATGGTTTCAATCTCTAGTTTCAAGTCTTCTTAAACACAGCATGATGTCCATTTAGTAAATTATGGTCCCATTTGGGTCAGATAGACTAGAAAGAGGGGGAGGAGTTTGGGCAGGAGTCGGCTGTTTAGTTTTCAGTTAGAACATTTAATCTCCACCTTCTCATCCAAATATGGCTCCAGAAAACATCAAATTTATCAATGAAGTGTATATTAGAGGCTTTAACAGATGATCATGTTCCCTCAGGTTGCACTCTTCTGTTTTATGACACGTACGGGAAAACCCTCAGCGCTGACCGGGAGCTGTCTCCTCGATACGCTCTGCTGGCCGACGACAGCATCGTCCAGGCCGCCCCCGAACACCCGAAGAAGGAACATGTCTTCTGTCTGAGCAACGCACACGGAGACGTCTACCTTTTCCAGGTGAGAAGACTAAAGCATCACTCTCACTGCACTGCTTCCAGCTGCCCTTAAGTCTTTATGCTAAGCTAGGCTAAACATGACCTGTGTTAAACTCCGTCTGAAAATAAAAAACAGAGAAAATATGTGTTTTAAAGATTTATTATAATAATATAATAATAAGAAATTAGATTTATATAGTGCTTTTTATTATGAGTCCTCCTTCTAAGTTTAGATTCTGGTCCTGAATGCTCTGGATTTGTTTTGACCAGAGAAGGTAGGCGCTTTTAAGACACGCCCCCACACAGAAGTTTTGGATGCCCCTCGGTTTGCCAGATATGAGAGCAGTTATCAGGTCAAACCAACAGTTGTTGCAGTGATTTCCACTGTCTTACTCGTGTGATTAACTCTGCAGCCTGTTGAGACTTATTTCAGGTCTCACCCCTTTCCTTCTATATTTGACTTTGATTGTCTGACTCTTGATTGCTGGCCGAGTTTCTTCCCCCAGTCACACTCTGTGGACGCTGGTTGTGGTTGCTCTCCAGCACAGAACCATCAGAGTCACCACAAAGAGCCCGAGCACATCTCCAGAGTTTCTCTGCATCCCATTTCACTTGATTATGAGTGTGATGCTGCAGGCTTTACTCTCCAGGGCCGATGTTTGAGTCAAGCTTTCGGCTAAATTTCTGCTTTTTTTAACGAGGATGGAAGCGGGCAACAAGAGAAGTGGTTCAGATAGAAGTGATTGTACCCGACCTAAAAAGCCTCTGCATGTTTCTAATAAGCTCCACGAGCAGAAACGTGCTCAAACTAGGATCAATATTGGAGATGCTTTTGAAAAATGGAGAGAGGTTAGAACACAGAAAGGTTTACAGACCCATGCAGAGCTGGATAAACACTGAAGCTTCAGAGTCCACCACATGGTGACCTGAGTGAGGATCCACTCTAGAGAGGAGGGGGGGGGACAGCTCTCTATGATGTTTAGAATTTAGACTGCAGTACACATTTTAAACACTAGGGGTCAGAGTTACATACTGCTACTTGAAGAATGCAGTTACTTTTCTAGCATCTGTTTTAAACTCCAATAAATGCCAGAACAGGATGAGCTGCTTTAAAGGAATAACAAATGTGATGTCCGACATAATAAGCAGCAGAGATCAGAAAAGAGGACCATACATAGCAGCAGCACGTCCTGTGTCAGCGCTGAGACTCAACAAGAGAGCATTTATCACTTCTTCTTCTTCTTCACACTTTTAACGAGCGTAGAAAGCACTTCTTTATTCCCTGAGTAACTCTCACTCCACTCAGCTGTAGAGTGTGTTTACAGACACACAAATCACATCGCTGGCCTCGTCTCCATGGATCCCTGAGGACTCACTAAAGGGGGGTGATACTGAGGTGTGGAGGAGCTTTTGTCAGAAGCTGAAAGGGGCTGAAGATGGAGGGTGGAGGAGGGTGAAAGCCCGCTAATGGGAGTCATGACACCCCGCTAATTACTGCAACAAATGCTCTTTTTAACGACGATGACCCGACACGTTTCCCTTCTTCACAAAAACACCTGTTAGTGTCAGGAAACACTCTCCTCCATGGGATCATGTTTAGGCCTTAAATCTCTCATTCTCTGCAATGTTTAGAATTTGGACTGCAGTACCCAATTTAAACACTAGGGGTCAGAGTTACATACTGCTCCTCGAAGAATGCAGTTACTATTAAAAATGACTGAACCTCCTTTCCTCTTCTTCTTCTTCTTCTTCTTCTTCTTCTTCTTCTTCTTCTTCCTTTCAGGCCACCAACCAGACCGACCTGGAGAACTGGGTGACGGCGATCCACTCGGCGAGCGCCTCCTTGCTGGCGAAGCGTCAGGGAAAGGAGGACACGCTGCGTCTCCTGCGCTGCCAGAGCCGCTCGCTGCTGCACAAGATCGACATGGACGGGAAGATGAAGAAGATGGCCGAGCTGCAGCTGTCCGTCATCAAGGAGCAGAAGAACAGGAAGGCCGTGGAGAGCCAGGTCAGTGCGTTCAGGTGTTTACTGATGCATTGGTAAAAAATGTGTCATTGGGGATCAGTCATAAACAGAAGTCCAAATATTGTTTCATTTTTTGTTTTTTTGTTTTTTTTATACTTTGTTTTTATTTTTGAAGAGTTGCTTCATTCAGATGGTTATATAGAAATTAATACACAGACATACATACACATCAAAACAATAAAATAAGAGAGAGAAAAAAGTAAAATAAAAATAAATAAAAATAAAAAAAATAAATAAATAAAAAAATAAAAAAATAAAATTAAAATAAAATTAAAAATAAATAAAAATAAAAATAATAAAATAAAATAAAATAAAATAAAATAAAATAAAATAAAATAAAATAAAATAAAATGAGGAGGTGACCGAATGGATTACCCAGAAGGATCACTTCATGTTTTTAGGAGAGTGAAGCCCTGACATCTTCTTTATCAGTTTGAACACGCTCAGTTTATGAGACAACATCTGGAGTTTAAAGTTCATAGAAACAAATTGTAGAAAGGACAAAAAACAAAGAGACAGCAGCAGCTCAGAGAGTCTGAGGAAACTCTCTCTCTCTCTGTCATGTGGTGCTCATGATGTAACAAACAGCCTTCAGGATGTTCAGACAGCTGCAGAGCGGAGTAAACGTCCTCGCTCGCTCTCACGTGGAGTCCACTTTAACATCAGTTCCAGATGTTCGGGGGCTGTTACCGGCAGCCTGAAACAACAGGACGGTTTCCCGCTGACGAGGGATCCAGATGAGACTTGTTGGAGTGACATCATGAAGCAAATGTTGAGGTGGTGAAACTCGCAGCTCTAAAGTCAAACCGTGGTGTGAAGAGAGGGATTTTATTATTCTATAGGTGGCTTTAACAGCAGAAGATAAACTCACTGCCATTTACCCAGAATCCATTTGAATCTAAATATTGGATTTATGTTGCTTCCTTCAGGAGGAAACTTCAAATAACGACGATAAGATCTGTTATTGTTGTTATATATATATATATATATATATATATATATATATTTTATTTTATTTAACCTTTATTTAACCAGGAAAGAAACTCATTGAGATTAAAAATCTCGAGTGTCCTGGCCAAGACAGGCAGCAAAACATTAACAGAGTTAACACGGACAACGAGCATCCAATCTTTCAAATACAAAATAAATTAGACATTAAAAGACACAAATAACAAATCCGAACAGCAAAATGTTTGTCAAAAATCATCCACAAGTACATCAGGAAGAACATCTACAGCCAGATGTGTCCGCTCCCAGGTCATTTAACTTCCTCTTAAAAGCATCCAACGAGAGAAGTTCATTAAGTTTCAGCTCTTTTTGTAATTCCTTCCATGATGGACTTTAGCAGCTAGCTTTGTTGGCACTCAAACTTTAACTAACTGACAGATGTTTGAATTCTATATTTCATATCTTTGACTCATTACAGTACCTGTTTAATTTAAAACTTTCTCATGAACACGTAAAACTTTCAACTCTTGTGAACATTTCTTTTGAGCACAAGACGTTTTCTTACAAGCGTGGGTTACTTTCCCTTTAGGGGCCGATAAGTGTCAATAGATTCATCTTTGCATTTTCTTGGACTTTGGGACTTGTTGTAGCACCCTCTAATGGCAGACCGGCGCTGGGCAGACGTTGTCATGTAGTATAAAACATAGTCGGACGTCTTGATGTTGCACAACTCTTAATCGTTTTTTAACCGTCAGCACTCGTCTTCTGTTTGTTCTGAACAAATATTCATTCATTAAGTCTTAAACTGTGTAATCATCTACAGAGGACCAACGGAAAGAATTTACCCTCCCCCCTCTTCTCCTGCTCCCTCCATCCTATCCCCTCCTCTCTTTTTTTCTTCTTCTGTGACTTTTTCCCACGCCACTACAAGTTCAGTAAACTTGACATGAGACAGACTTCATAAAAACACACAAAGTGCGATACAAATCTAGACACCAGCGCGTTCTAATGGGAACACAAACTGTTTTTTATTTACTGTTCCATCTCTGTTTCATAGAGCTGATGTTTTATAATCTCTCCATCGTCTCGTCTATTCTCTCTGTCTCCTCGTCTCTGGATGGTTAATTGAATGCTGAGCGGGCAGATTAGCCTTTAATCTTCGCTCGGAGGAGTTCAAACAGCAGAGCTGGGATCAGTTTCACAGAGAGAGTTTAAACAGCTGCTCACACACACAGTCCCACTTTACTCTCATTCAGTCAGTGGATTTTAGTGTTATAGATTTTCTAAGTCTGAAGACTCGGTTGAGTTCATCACTGTTACAAAGGAAATCAATCTGAGTCTAATTAAATGTCTTAACGTAATAACTCTCTTTATATCAAGCAAGCCCTGACTGTTCCTTTAAATCACACAAACAAGTTCACTATTTATTCTTAAAAATACAAGATCAGTCAGATGGATTGAATGTGAGTAGGGCTGTCAAACGATTACATTTTCTAACCCCGAATAATCACAAAATTTCAATAGTTAATCATGATAAAGTGAGGTCAAACAGCTCAAAGTAATGGTAACAAAGGTCAATGTGTGATGTCATAAGGTCAATGTGTGATGTCATAAGGTGGATATTACTTTGGACTAATCAGCTGAGCTGTCTGAGAGTTTGTTGAATTGAAATGAGACATTCAAAGATGCAGCAGTGTTCTTGTTTTACATCACTGAGACTACAGGGAGACACTGAGGACCACTATCTACGGAGAGCCTGAAGGGACAAACATGAGATTAATCATAATCTCAGTTTGTTTTTATGACCCTGTTTGTACAGATCCAGCAGTGGGAGCAGAACCTTGAGAAGCTGAACCTGGATCTGTTCCGGTTGAGGTGTTACCTGTCCAGCCTGCAGGGTGGCGAGCTCCCCAACCCCAAGAGCCTCCTCGCCGTGGCCAGCCGGCCCTCCAAGAGCATGCTGGGACGTCTGGGAGTATTCTCTGTGTCGTCATTCCACGCCCTGGTAAGAAAACCTGTCCTGTTAAAAAAAGAAAAAACCCCTGTCCTAGTTGTTTCACTTTTTGAGTCATCATGTTGGACTTCTCGTTTTTGTCCTCAGGTGTGCAGTCGAGATGAGGAGGTGTTGAGGAGGAGGTGGAGGTCTCTGTCAGGAGGAGGCAGCAGGAGGCGGGGCCTGCCGTCCTCTCTGAAGGTTCTGGATGGAACGAACAGACGCAGCAGAGACAGCAGACACTCCACGTCCCAGGTAATACAACACACTGACAAACTGCTGACGGGGCACTGCAGCCGTTATAACATCTTTCTGCAGATTTAAAAACTATTTAAGTTCCATAATTTGTCTTAAACTGAGTCCTAAGCAGGTGTTAGGTCTTTTATTTATAGTATTTTAAAGATAGGATGACGTGGAGGATGAGGAGGAGGGAATGATACTCGAATTATACTCCACAGTATCATCTGCATAACAAGACAGTTTATTAAAGAAACGGCAGCGCTGCTCACTTGATTTAACGGGATACTGAGGTTAATTTGTTTTCAGCTAATATTCAGGGTACGATAACTATGCAGAGATCTCAAGAAAACGCCTTTAAATGCTATTTAACACATAAAAACCAGCTTATTTATCTTGAGATAACGTAAATTAGTCAATATCTCGGAAAAAAAACGACTGGAAAATTACTCGTTCTTACAGGAAAACTAGAGATGTTATCTCAGAAGGACAGAAATAAGTCAAGCTCTCTCAAAAAATAAAGTAATGTACTCGTTATCAGGGGAAAGCAGCGTAATTAACTCAAAATAACGACGTAGAGAAGTTGAGATCTTGAGGAAACAACTGGAAATGATTCGTCATCACAGGAATAAAGGAGTGAAAAAAAGAGACGTGAGGATGTTTGTCTGCTTCGGGCTGCCGTAGAATCGTTTTTTAGAACAGTTTTACAGTCAGCACAGATTTTATGACAGAGTAGCGACGATGAACATGATGTCTCTGAGATGAAAAAAAAGAATGATGGGAATTTCGCTTCTATCTTGCTTTTTTGGTCACGTGTTTAGCATGGATTTCAATACTCAATACTTCTCAGTGTTCACTGATTGGAGGTTCAAACTGTTTCTGATTCTTTCTCAGACTCTAAATCTTGCCGTTCAAACTGACCTCGAGTGCGGCGCCCTGGTAGCTGAACAGTGACATCACCTGACACACCTTGTTTCCTGTCCGGCCTCAGCTCACTCTTCAGTTCAGTACTCTCTAAAAATCCTGATCTGACGCATTGCAGTCGTGTGTGTTTTTGATGCCAGATGTTTTGGCTTCTCTTGATTTCTGTCTCTGCTGAAACTCCTCGGTGCTCTAACTCGCTGGAGTTCCCATCATGCACTGCTCCTGAAGGGGCCCCCTCCTCTGGATAAACATGGAGCTATTTTAAGAGTCTGAGCGCCCGGAGGAGGATAAATCTTTACTCTTGGTTCTGTGTTTGTACAGAGAGACGTTTTTACACATCTCCTCATGTTCTCTGCTGGCTTCTCTCCCACTCATTTACTCGACGCCTCTCGTTTTATTTTCTTTGAATGTGTGTCCATGTTTCTTTTCTCCTCTCCGGGTAAACATGATGTGGCACAAAGTTTGTGGTAAATCTGGTTGGGGTTTGGGTTAACCAGTGTTAACCATGCAGCTGCAGCTTGCAGACGTTTGTCTCCAGAGTCCTGTGATGATTTTAAACGTCCAATCAGCTGTTTTTTAAATCATCTCACAGATTCTTAAGACGTTTGCATCTTTGTGGCGTTTAATGGATCTAATTTCAAAGTTATATTAGTGTGGATCTTCATGATGGGTTTTGGTTTCCTGCGTTTGTCGACACCTTCACCTCCAACTTCCTATCCAGGTCGATCTATTCTGTGCAGTTTGACGCATGCTTGCGACGACCTCAGTCAAAAATAGACTCGCAGCAGTATTTATCTCTGGTCTGAATCCGTTTCATAGTTTTCGGCCTCGAGCCACAGAGAATCTGAAGTCTGACACACTCGTGGATTTAATCCCTGAGTTCTGTCTGCAGGAGTCAAACAGCACCAGAGCAGCTCAGACTCCCTGCTGGTCTACAAGAAAGACCCGCCCACATCAGGGGCCAGGGGCAGGGTTAGCATGACCAAAACAAAACCGTGCTCATCACTTTGTTGTGACCACCATTTTGAAAAAACTAGTCGTGAGCTCAAACAAAAGGAGAAGCAGCAGTGGTCTGAGGAGGTGACCAGCTGATGTTTGATCTTCACTGTCCGGAGCAATCCTGACAACAGAACAAATTCTTTGGACCTGTCGGGTTTGAACGCCTGTGCTGGTTTGCAAAGCCAGGAGAAAGGAAACGCTGTAGTCCTTAATGGTTTCTGATGTTTATGTGGATTAAAAAGTGATTAAAGCTCATAACTTAAACGCTGACTGAGTAAAGCTGAACGCCCTTATAAGGAGTTCTGGTTGACTCTGTATGCTGATGATGTGTGGAAGTGTACGTTTAATGATGATGATGATGTGTTTACTGCCCGTCTGTGATCCTCAGACTCTACACAGACTGCGTCTCCACAAACCTGTAATTTCAGCTCGGCTCAACCCGCTCGTTTAAATCAAAGTCGTCTGTTTGTCCCTCGACTCATCTGGGTTTAATTTCCTGTAAATATAGACCGAGAGAGTATTTATAGTTTGTCCTGAGTCATTACTGTGTGTGTGTGTGTGTGTGTGTGTGTGTGTGTGTGTGTGTGTGTGTGTGTGTGTGTGTGTGTGTGTGTGTGTGTGTGTGTGTGTGTGTGTGTGTGTGAGAGAGCATGTGTCAGAGAGCGAACGATCTGTTTTTCGGTGTCGACTGGAACTACAAACTATTTAATGTATATAAAAGGAAGGACGCAACAGGAAGTGAACGTGGCTTTATTTACCCGGAGAGTTTGAGTTATTAAACAATAAATAACAGAATAGTCCATGTGTGAGGAAGAACCAGGAGACCCTGATAAGAGGAGCTCCTGCTGATGGTTAGTTTGAGGACCCCAGAGGCTATTGTCTCCAAGCAGGCGGCCCGGGTTGGAATCCCACCTGTAGCTCCTTTCCTGCATGTTACTCCCCACTCTCTCTCTCTTTCTCTCTCTCAAACTCAAAAATGTTCCGATCAAAGGAACAAAAGATCCCATCAGACTTTAAAGTGAGAACGGCCACTTTGTGTTGTCACCGTGTGCTGCCACCTGTCGCCTCTCCTGACCCCCCGAGGAGGAGGAGGACAGATGTTTCAGCAACCTGCTGATCTGTGGACAAACAGAGGGGGAGGAGGAGGAGGAGGAGGAGAGGGGGAGGAGGAGGAGGAGAGGGGGGAGGAGAAGGAGGAGAGGGGGAGGAGGAGGACAGATGTTTCATAGCAACCTGCTGATCTGTGGACAAACAGAGGGGGGGAGGAGGGAGGGGAGGAGGAGGAGGAGAGGGGGAGGAGGGAAGGAGGAGAGGGGGAGGAGGAGGAGAGGGGGAGGAGGAGAAGGAGGAGAGGGGAGGAGGAGGAGAGGGGGGAGGAGGAGGAGGAGAGATGTTTCATAGCAACCTGCTGATCTGTGGACAAACAGAGGGGGAGGAGGAGGAGGAGGAGGGGGGGAGGAGGAGGAGGAGAGGGGGAGGAGGAGAAGGAGGAGAGGGGGAGGAGGAGGAGGAGAGGGGGAGGAGGAAGGAGGGAGAGGGGGAGGAGGGGAGGAAGGGGGAGGAGGAGAAGGAGGAGAGGGGGAGGAGGATTAAAAGCTCTGAGTCTTTTCTTCTCCCAGAATTCCTTTGTCCCTCTCTGTTAATCCCTCTGAAGAGCCTCTAAATGACTCCTCCCACCTCCTCTCCTCCAACCTCCTCTCCCCCCGCTGTCACATGACCCCCCCTTCCTTCCTTCTTCTCATCTGCACCTCTTTTAACCTCCTACCCTCCTTCCTTCCTTCCTTCCTGTTTCGTCTTACGTCCTCCTGCTGAAGATTCAGTTTTATTTAAATCCTCTTTTGTTTCCTTTTCCCTCTCTCCTTACTTCTCCTCTGTTCCCCTCCTCTTCCCTTCATCTCCTCTCCTTCTTTCATCTCCTCTTCTCTTCATCTCCTCTCCATCTTTCCTCTTCCCTTCATTTCCTTTCCTTCTTTCCTCTCCTCTCGTCTTCCCTTCATTCCT